TCCGGGAACGGGCTGGCGCAGGCCAGCGCCAGCAGCAGCAGCATCTTAGCGGGGCCCCGAGGGCCGCGGGGGCCACCGGCGCCGCGCATCGCCTGCGGGCCCTGCCGGGCGGCCTCTGAGCGCGCGGGCGCCCGCGGAGGAACACAGAGGAGGGTGGGGCAGAGAGAGGAAGAGACAGCAGGAGCAGAGACACAAATGAGAGACGCAGAGGTGGAAAGACAGAGACAGGGAGACAAGATAACAGAGAGAGATACAAGGAGGGAGAGACGCAGAGATAGGGAGGAGAAAGGTTGGCGTGATAGAGGGAGAGACACAGACAGGTACAGAGGTAGACAGACACAGGAAGAGTGGAGGTGGGTAATGAGGTCAGAGAACAAATAGAGGCAGCGAGAAGAGACAAGGTAGGAAGGGGGAGGACAATGAAAAAGGACAGATGGGATAAAGACCCACAGAGATGGGATCAGAAGAGCAGGGAGAGACCCAGAAGATAGGAAGAGACGAAAACCGCCTCAGAGAGATGGTCAGGGAGAGAGTGACAAGGGGTAACGAGAGAGATGAAAGGAGAAATAGGGAGAGAGAGGCTCAGAGGAACAGAGACAGGGAGACGAGGCCGAGAGAGATAAGACGGAGTGAAAAATAGGGAGGGAATGAGAGGCAGGAGAGATGCAGAGATAGACGAAAGGAGGTGGGAGAGATAAGAGAAATGAGAAAGTTGGACAGAAAGAGGGAGATGGAAAGAAACCCAGGAAGAGGGAGACAGAGACCCCACGGCCACCAAGAGACATGCATACACAAGAGATGGAGAAACAGGCAGAATTCGAGATAGAGGGAGGAGGCGGGCAGAGCAGACAGAAAACACAGTAAGACAGAAATAGCGAGGCAAGGCAAAGATCAAGACCCCCACCAGAGAGGTACCCAGCACAGACATGAAAGGAAGGCCGGGAAGGCGAGTGGCAGGAGGGATCAAAAATAAAAGGAAGAAAAAGTGAGGGGGAACAAAAAAGAGAAAGGGAAAAGGGGTCAGGTGTGTGGGGGGAGAGAAAGAGAGAGAAAAAGAAATTAGTGCGGCATCCCACAGAGAGAAAAATGTCCCCATGATCTTACCCCTGAACTTGACCACAACCCCTAACCCCTTTTTGGCCCCTTACTCCTGTCTCCGTCCTGTTGTCAATGAGAGCTACAGAGTCACAACTCATGCTGGGCTACGGGGTTGGGGGGCACAGCTGTGAAGAGCTGGGGGGGGCGGTGAGGGGGTCCCTGGCTCCCAGCCCAGAGCAATTTAGTAAATTAGAGGCAATACAGCGTCTCTTCTTGTGTCCCCTGTTGAATACTAGCTGCCTGGGGTGGTCGGGCTGGGAGCCCAGACTCCTGGCTCCTGGGTCTGAGGGAGAGGAGGGCACTGGAGGCCTGGACTCCTGGTTCTGAGAGAGAGATTATAGCCTGCAGAAGGGGCTTCTTGAAGGGGTGAGGGTCCAGACAGGGCAGGGTTCACTCTTGACTGTCAATCAGGCTCCTGTCTGGTTGCCATGGTAGCACAGGCCTCCATCCACCCCACAGATAGCCAGGGTAGGGGAAAGGCCCACACCCCCTCCCCTGCCTTGTGGCCTTGCCCCCTACACCCCCTAGGCTTCCCAGGGACCCTGGGCCACTATCTCCCCAGGGGTGGGGGTGGGGGCTCCTAGCATGCCCAAATCCTGGCTCCCCCTCGCCCCTCCTCTCCTCTGCCCTTCCCCAAGCAGCTGGCTCAATCAGTGCTCAGAATAGCCCCCCTCTGCCCCAAAATAACCCACAGCTGTGGCCTGGTGCCCCCCCTCCCCAGGATAACACTCATTCTCCCCTCCCTTCCCGATGGCTGATCACCCCTCAGCCCCTCCCCTGCCTCTCTCAGACCAACCCCTGCCCAGCCTCTGGCCTTGGGGACCCCAAGGTCCTGCTCCCTGCTGGAACCCAGAAGAGCAGCTCCAGCCCCACCCTTCTCAGGAAGCTGGACACCCAGTTTTCTCCCATGAGGGATTCGGGAGGCCAGTCTCCCACCCCTCCAGGGACAGAGAAGCGACATCCCCAGCCCCTAGGGGACTGGCATTCCAGCCCCCAAAATCTACACCTTCAGGATCATATCATCCAGGCCTCCAATCTCCACCTCCCTATGTGTCTCACTCTCCCCACTTCCATGCCCATGGGACTAAAGAGTCCAGACCCCCATCCCCCACCTTGTCAGGGACTCAGGAGACTGAGCCCCCAGCCCCCTCCTCCCTCAGACACAGAAGCCCTACCCTCCAACTTCTCCCATAGATTCGGAGTCCTGCTCTCCGGCCCCCTCCCTCCCGAGGACCCAGCAGTCTGGGTGCTCAGTTCCGTCCTTTTCCAGGACCCAGGAGTCCCAGCTTCTCCTGCCCCAGACTCAGGGATCCAGGTGCCCAGCCTCCTCTATGGCCAGGACCCAGGAATCCAGGCCCATAGCCCTCTCCTCTCTTAAGGACCCCTTTTTGTCTCAAGCCCCATCTGTCCCAGCATCCTGGACACCCTGCCAGCTTCCAGCCTCCCCGAGTCACCCCACTCAGGTCCTGTGCACAGTACAGCCTATCCCCCAGCTGAGGAGGGTGCCAGAGATTCCTGGGGTGTCCCTGTCTCCATCAGTCCCCTTAGTCCATCACAGAAGAGAAGAGGCCACTTTGATCAACAGCCCACCCCCCTCCTCGCGTCGTGCTGCAGACGGAGTCCTGTTGACCACCCCCCGCAACCCCGTTCTCTCCCCACCCTAATCCTGATGCTTGGAAGAGACTGGAAGGGGATTCCAGAACCTTGAGGAAGGGATGGTAGCTTAAGGCAAGGGGTGCCAGGGCCTGGATGCTCTCAAGGTCCTTGGCCAGGGTATTAATAGCTGACTTGCAGTTGAGGAGGGAGGGGAGATGGAGAGGAGAGAGGGAGGAGGACCAGCCGAGGGGGGAGACTGATGCAGGCAGAGGGGTGCAGAGGGAAGGTGAGATGGAGAGATGGGGTTATAGAGAGAGATGGGGTGTCAGGTGTATGTGGCTGGGGAGAGGGATCAAAGTGCCAGAAATGGGGGGTTAGGAGGTCTGAGGTATAGAGACCTCAAAAAAAGGGCTGAGGGGCAGAGAGCCCCCAAGAGGTAAGTCAGCTGGGGGCGGGTAAAGACCCCTGTTCACCATTCAATCCCCCCTTTTCCCTGAGGCCCCTGGCCAACTTTCTCTGTCCTAGATCTGGGGGTG